ACACACACACACAAACACACACCTCCCCAAGAGAAATTACTAGGTTCTTTATTTATACCTTATAATAACCTTTATTCCTTGGTTTTCACAGGAAGAGATGACTGCATTAAGTGCTTGGAACTCACTGCTGCAGCAAACAGGGAAGAACTGGAAAGTGTGGGTAGGCTAAGCATGGCAAAGATAAAATTAGCCTACGAGCATATGACTACCAGGAAAGTTACAAACTCCTAGAATCAAGATATCATGGGCTGTCATCAGGGAGTAAATCAAGCAATAACTCTTTTTAAATGGACACAAGATAGGAAATATGTCCTCTACTCTTAAATGTGGGAATGGCAACCCAGCAAGTTTTTATTAATATATTCCTATAATCACCAAACCACTTGCCAATACCAACATCGAAATAATTACAAGGAAAGACTTGGTTAAATTCCATCCCTCTGATGGCCTTGTAAGGCACAAATGCCTGGATTTGCAAAGGCAATTTGAGACAACAGGACATCATTATAATCAGCACAGGCGAAACCCTATCTCCAGTTAGCGAAGTTGGTGATCCATGGGTTACAGGGCTACTTATGATTTAGGGATTTCTCTTTTCCCTATGTCTATGCAAATGCAAACAGCCTATGCAGGGGGCCGACCTTTTTCATAGGTAATGTCACAAAGTCTGAGATAAAGGAAAAAAGATGAAGCTAATATCATTTTCTGCCTCCCAGCTCTTAACAACTTAGCTTTAAAACTTACAGATATCTACATTTTATTACCAAAAATGTTTATTGTGTACAATCTGATCAGACAAGAGCAATGGAAAGATCAAGATGACATGCTAGGCCAGGCTCGGTGGTTCACGCCTGTAATCCTAGCACTCTGGGAGGCTTAGGTGGGGGGATCGTTTGAGCTCAGGAGTTTGAGACCAGCCTGAGCAAGAGTGAGACCCTCCATCTCTACTAAAAATAGAAAGAAATTAATTGGCCAACTAAATATATATATAAAAAAATTAGCCGGGCATGGTGGTGCATGCCTATGGTCCCAGCTACTTGGGAGGCTGAGGAAGCAGGATTACTTGAGCCCAGGAGTTTGAGGTTGCTGTGAGCTAGGCTGACGCCATGGCACTCTAGCCTGAGCAACACAGTGAGACTGTCTCAAAAAAAAAAAAAAAAAAAAAAAAAGAAGACATGCTAATCAGAGAGCACACTTTCATCAGAGGGTTGGTGCCCATAAAGCAAAAACAGACACAGCATTCTTAGTTGTCACTCAGAGTCATCTTCCACATGTATAAAATTTCAAATGGGCTGCTGGTCACAATATTTTTTACTCTTATTCACCTATCAATGTCATCAAGAGCAATTATCCTCAAACACCAAGAGGGTAATTTAATAATATTGAAATTTAATATCTATGAACATGTTAATGATTAGAAAAGTCGAAGAATTTAAAAATGTATAGATATTTCATTTTTATATTTTATTTATAAATATTATTTATATACTTTCCTCATCATTAACATGTACCTAAATATTCTTACATGTAGTGAGACCTTAAGGATTTTACTTCATAAGAAAGAGATGATTAATGGGAAAGATGTGACTCTTTGCTTATCTCCATTTGGAATTTAAAAGTTGCGTAACAAACAGGTTTGTGGAGTATAAGCAGGAGGAGTATAAGCAAAGGCCAAATGCAGTTAGAAATTAAGAAAATCCTTCCAAAACAGATGGGTATTAGCTTTTGTTAAGTCTATAAAAGAATATGCCAGGAATTGATGAGTAGCAATGAACAAGAAGTAAGTGAATGAGATGACAATAACAGCTGAAAGGACTATCAGAAGATGTGGCTTTTCCTCCTGATTCTGCCACAAGCTACTGAGGTGACCCTGGCTAGTGTCATTAACAAAAAAATTACTATTGGGCGTCATGGAAGACTTTGTACATCAGAGATGACACAAAGATAAACAAAATCTGGTTCCTGACCACAAGAAGTTTACGAGCTGGTAGAAAAGATAAGATATTCGATCATAACTAACACATGGCAGAAGGAGAATAATACTTTAAGAGAAGTGCAAACCAAACACCAGGAAAACTTAGACAAAGGAAAGGAGACTTTCTGCCTGAAGAGGAGAGAGTTTGAAGAAAGGTTTTATGGAAAAGTGGTGGCTGAAATGAGACTTAATGATTGGATAACATTCTGACAAGGAACCCCAGTGGCAGAGCCCCTTTCAGAAGCATCAGGAGAGAAATGTGAATGTGCAAAGTTCCACCAACAGCCCTCAGGCCGAATTCAGCTGCCCGGTGTTTTTAGCCTGGACAAGAGCTCACCAGGACACCTAATCCCCAGCAGCCCCTCTTGGACTCTCACTCACTGGCCTTCTTCATTTACACCATCTCACTGGCTCTGCGGATATCGGATATCGGTGCTTATGACACTTGTAATAGAGATTCGCAAGGATCAAGATAAGAAGTCTGTCTACACAGGTCTTTATAAAGAACTGAAAGAGCCAATGAAAGGTGATTCAGGAAGCATCATGATCACAGCTGTGGCTCAAAAAGTCCTCTCTGGCACCACTATGGGAGATGACTAAAGAAAGCAGAGCCTGGCCCCAGGAACAGAGTCAGTGGTGGAGAAAGAAGGAATCTCCAAGAGGGACAATCAGGATGGGAGCAGCACAGCAGGACGGAGACAAAGGGGAGGTCTGGGTTCAGAAATAGTGCAGAGATTACTTGAGGGTTAACTGGATAATCTAGTGAAGGAGGAGGTGGATTTCACAGTGAATTTAAACCTTATTGCTCCAGCATCTAGGTGAATGCTGATGTCACTAAGACAGAAAGGAACAGACTGGATGGGAAAGATAATATATTCAGTTGTAGATACCGTAAACCTGAAGAGCTTAGAGGACACTGAGGAAGGAAAGTCTAGAGCAGTGGTTCCCAATTGGGGACAGTTTTGCTGCCCAACCCCCGCCACACACAAGAGCTATTTAGAAATGTCTGGAGACATGGTGGCTGGTGCTCACAACCTGGCCAGGAGGTTGCCACTGGCATCCAGCGGGTAGAATCCACAGATGCTGCTAAACATCCTAAAATGCACAGGACAGCCCCCGACGAGAAAGAATTATCTGACCAAAATGTCAATAGTTCGGAGGGTGAGAAATCTTGATCTAGAGGCAGTAGAAACTTCAAATCTGGAATTTTAAAAAAGTAGGAAATGGATAGAGATGAGAGCTTTTAGTCACTCATACTTGTGTGAGATATGAAAGAAAACTAGCCACAATGGGAATGTCACCTCATTGGCAATATGAATTCGTTGTAAGAGGCAATGTCAAAAACCCTTTAATTTTCAAAATGCAATGGTTTCATGACTGTTCTCAGCAAGCGTGCACTCACGACCGTAGACGTGGATGAGGACGGAAATCATGGAGCAGATCAGTGCAGGCAGGAATGCCCAGAATATACACAGGGAAGACGTGTTCCAGGCGGTAGCAAGGAAATGTCCTATGTGGTCTAAGATTTTCATCTGCAAACTTCATATAAGTTGCTCAAAGAATCACACTACTACTGTCAGATAAGAAAAAAACAAACTCAAAGGAGATAGGTGAAAGGGGAAAAAGGAAAGGAGAAAGCAAAAGAAAACAGGAGAAATGAGATAGAAAAAATGACATGACAAGGAAAACAAAGAGTGGAGAGGACAGGAAAGGAGAGGAACACTGGAAGGACTTCCTACAAAGGCAACAGAACGCACTGGGAGTGCAGTGCTAAGGCATAAGACTCATGGCCATTCTCAGTAATTTTGTGAAACTGTGATTATCAGGATACATTCTACAGACAGCAAAATCTGCTTCTTGAGCAGGCTCGTAGCTGTTTTTCAAAAGCCATATTATTATAATACAAAATGGCAAAAGAGTAACTAACACCTTGTACAATTCTCCAGCATTTAAATGACTTTTGCTGTGAATAAATTTTGCTGCTGGGATGCAGTGTGGGCCACCTGGCAGCCTTGGACTGCTGGGCACACAGGCAAAATAGGTTTGCAAGGAACAAGAAGATGGTCCTTCCACAACCAAAGACAAGGTATACCTGGAACACAGAAAGCTACAGGAGCAAACCAAAGGAGGCATGGCTGCACAGCAGAGTGGGAAGACTAGGTGCTAGGCTGGGAGGCAACAGAGCATGCTAGAGCCAGAAAGATCTTGAATTCAAAACCTGGCTCCAGCATTAGCTAAATCCCTGGTTTTTACAAGCAGCAGGATGTCTCTGAGAATTAGTTTCCTTTCTGGTAAAGTGTGGATGGTGAGATTCCAGCCTCCTAGGAGTGCTGTGATGATTAAATGAGATCATGCAAGTAAAGTGTTTAGCACAGCAGCTAGAGCAGGGTGGGGATGCCCTCAATGGTAACTGCTACTGAATAATGTCTAAATTCTATTACTCTAATCAATGACTGAATAGAATAAAAATAAGACCCACAACTCAAGTACAATATGTTAAAGAGAGCAACATATTTGAAAAATGAAATGCATTCATAGAACTAGAAGTGGGCTTCAGAACTCTCTGGTCAAATTTCCTTATTTTACTGATGGGAAATTGGAGAAGGAAATGAAAAATCTATTGTGGTTTGGATTCACAAAACCAAAAAAAATTGAATAATTAAAGGGGGGTATTCATCATGTTTTGTATAACACAAGTTGAAGGTGGAGTTAGAAAACTGTTCCCAGTGTGTGTGTGTGTGTGTGTGTGTGTGTGTGTGTGTGTGTGTGTGTGTGTGTGTGTGTGTGTGTGTGTGTGTGAGTGTACTAGAAATAATAGAGTTCCTCTAAGGAGAAGTCCAGCAGAAAGTTATCCTTAGCTTTCTGTGAACTTGACTAGCCTTCATCACCCAAATTCACCCATCCGTAAAGTAACCTTACCTCATAAAGTTATCTGAAGCTTCACAGAGAACTGAATAAAATAGCATCATGAACAAACGTGATGATGAAGGATATGCTTCTTTCAGGCTACAGCCAGGTTACTCACCTGTCCAAGAGTAAGTTAGGAGCAAACAGGAGCTTCCCTGGGTGCTCCATGGAGCGCCAGACAAGACCAATCATCAGGATCTCTAGCCAGGCACATTCCAGAAGGTGGACCTGATCGTGGAGGGTCAAATCCACAAATCCTGAAATAAGATAAGAAAATCTTGCTGACTTAAAACGAAAAGTATTCATTACTGCTGAAATGAATGTAACCAGCGATTCGAACTGGTAAGGTCTATCTTCTATTGCATTAAGTAAAGTGTAATAGAAACACACTTTAGAAGGAAACCTAGCTATGTTGATGAATTTTAATGTGGTATTAAGAATTATACAAACTTATACAACCCACTTAGCTTTCTATAAAGTTCTGTACTTAATGTTAAAACATTTATGCCTTCTATTTAGATAGTTCTAACAGCTCCATGTGACTATTACTCATTTCTGGTTCAGCTGAAGCTACTAAGGTACAAGGAATTTAAATTGCTTGCCTTACATCAAATAGGAACTCAAATACAGACAGGACCAAAGTCACTAAATTTCTATTTCTTGGCTTCATCACTTAGACATGCTCTTTTTTCTTCATAACATGTAAAAGAAAGACTAATGAAATAGCATATATAAATAGATCACTTGAGAGAATGAGTCAGATGACTAAACGTGACATCATTCTGGTAATAACTACTAAAATGTGCCCTTGTTTTCTAATGGTTGATTAGGAGATTAAAGCTTTTTCCAATCATTACTGACAATATGGTGGATGCTTGAAAATAATGATCATGAGGAAGAAAGGGGGGATAAAGGAGGGAAGAAGGGAGAAGGAGAAAAAGAAGAAAAAGAGGAGAAAGAAGAAGACGAGTTTATTGAGATCTTACTATGTGATAAAAGCAATGGTAAACATTTCCTGTGCACTATTCTTTTTTTCTTTATTAATACAATAACCTGAAGAAGTAGGAACTGATATTCCCATTTTATAGAGAAGAAGACAGGCATTTGGAGAGTTTATTTATGTTAAGGGAAGAAATAGGAATATAATCTTCAGAATCTGGGCCCTTGAACACACTTGACAACTGCCACTTCTGAGCTCCACTTAATTAGAGAATTTGGATCAGGTGACTAAATAAATTCAACCACACACATTAATATATGCCAGAGTGGAAGGGACATTAAGTAAACAAGGTACTCATAAAGTTTTCTGCCTTTCAAATCAGTTTCCTGTCTTTTTTCCCCAGAGGTATCCCACCATATTCTATTTCCCTTCCCTCTCTCTCTCTCTCTTTCTCTCCCTCTCTGCCCTCAACTCTTTGTTTTGTCTTATCTATGAGAAAGGCTCTAGGACTCCCTTTTTTTGTTGTTCTTTTCTTTTCCTCTCATCAATGTCACACTTTCATTAGCTATCTACACTTGTATTAATTAAAAACCCCAAATATAAGTTTGTTTTCCTTAAATGGTCAAGGGTGAATGGTCTGCCTACTGGCTGTTTCTTCTTGGGGGGTCTTGGAGTTATGAAAATCTCAGCATTAAACAATTAGCTTATCATTTCTTATGTGCTTAAGTACCATCTTTTACATAATCCTTATCTCCAAATAGTTGATGATCCACCCAAAGAAACCCAAGCTAGAGACAGACCTTGGAGTTTATGCTCCATCTCTTGCCATCATCTCATAATCAAACCTCATCTACTCTATCTTTGAAGTAACTACAATTCTTCTTCTTGTTTGCATTCTCATTGCTAACATACTAATTCAGTTCCTAATAGTCTCTTACTTTTTTGTATGACTTTATTTTTACTCAGCATAATTATTTTAAGACTTATCCATGTTGCATGTATAAATAGCTGATTCTTTTCATTGCTGAGTAGTATTCTATCATATGGCTATATCCAATAAATAAACATAATTTGTTTATCCTTTCATTGGACTTCTGGGTTTCCAGTTTTTGGCTATTACAAATAAAGCCACTATAAGCAATCCATGTACAAATTATTATGTGGATATATGCTTTCATTTCTCTTGGTTAAATATTTAAGAGTAGCATCTCTGGATCATATGATAGGTGTATTTTTTTTTTTAAGAAACTGTCAAACTGTTTTCAAAAAGGGTTTACCATTTTACATTCATATCAGCGATATATGAGAATACTAGTTGCTCTACATCCTCACCAATACTTGGTATGGTCAGTCTTTTAAATTTTAGACATTTTAATAGATGTACAGAGGTGTGTGGTCTTAATTTGCATTTTTCTAATGAATAATAATGTTGAGCATCTTTTCACATGTTTTCTAATAGATCATTTTGCTACACTATATACAAGTTAATCACGCATGTATCTGTAAATCCTGCTAGACTATGTACTCATTTGAGTCACAAAATGCATGATTCCATCAAATTTTGCTTCCACTGCATTACACAGCCAGACCAAGGCCCGTGATGACATAACCTTTATTAGAGTAGGTGTCTTTTCCTTGGAAAGTGTGGATTCCATGATCATGTAAAAAAGAACTTGCATCTGGAAGAATAAAAAAGTGGCTCTGTTCATAAGAAAAACTGAAAGATTAAAAAGCAATGATTTGGTTTCAGATGCCCTGGGGGAAAAGGGCTCAGGTATATCTACAATGTGCAGCTATTTACCTATAGAGTGAACTGAGTCAAGATGCACCAGCCTTGCTCAAGGAGAAAAGGCTGAGGCAGCATTAAGTGCTTCTCTTTCTCAGCACCCAATGCCTAAGGGGATAAACCAAACCCAGCGGACAGTATGGAAAATGATAGCCCTCGGGGCGGTTTTAATTCTCTGAGAGTTCTATGTGGTAAAAATGGAATCATGTAATATTCATGTAATTGTCACCCATGATGAAGCCTATCCCAGATTATTCAGTATCCTACATAAACCTTAAAAAATTACACAGCATCATATCTAGGGCTGTCTCGGGAGTTTGGCCATATAACCAGTCCATTTTGGAAAACCAAAGGTCTGCTTTCTGGTGGCAACTTAACATATTAAATGGAATTGTACTTTTTAATTCTCACTGTAAAATTTCAGTGCTATTGAGGTCTGACAGCTTTAGTGCTCTTTGGGAGGTGAAGAAGCTCCCCATAGCCATTTGTACCACACAAGTATGGTGATTATGAAATCTGTCTGAAGTAGGTCTGTTAGTAATAGTTTTCAGTTGGGAGGCCAGCAGGATTGCTCGATCCTTCTGTTCAAATGTTGTAGATCTCTCAAAAAGAGCTTATTTAATTATCTTTCCCAGCTGTGCATACTGCCTGCAGACAAGGGTTATTATATCTGCTGCACAGTGTCCTCTGCAAGTTCCTGGGTCAGGGTTGGGGGTAGTGTGCAGAAAAGATTGCCAATTAACTTTCTCAATGAATGTGAGGACTACGAGAGAAAGTCATTAGATGGAGTGTCTCCTTTCTTCCAGTAGACTGGTCTTGATGTTATTTTAACCATACAGGAGCTAAACACTCTTTTGGTATAAAATAAATATCCATGAATACTTTCAGTTCACAGCCAATGGGCACCAATAATGTAATAAATCCCAAACAAAACTAGATTGGGGCAACTATCTTTAGACATCAAGTTCCAGCTCCTTTGCTAATTTTCCTTACAAACATGCAGAATTTTCTAATATGAAATTCCAAATGAATCTGCTAGAATAAATCAGAGGCATTCAAAAAGTAAATTCCACTCTCTCCTGAACACTTGGAAGTGTCACCAATGAGAAGATGGAAGTTTAGCAGCTGCTATGGGATATGATTAGAAGAATCAGTGGCAGATGTGCTCACAGGTGGTACAGTGAGAGTTGACTCATCCCCCCATCACTTGAGGATCCCCATTTTAATGACAAGGGGACTCTGGGCCTGTGGACTCCACACCGGAGGGACAGAATGCATTCTGAAAAAGCAGTAACAATAGTTTGCTGAGAATAGGTGAAATCAGATGCTCAGAAATCTCATTTTATACAATAAAATCTTTATAAAAGCAAGCACAGATCTCTTTTCCCTGGTCTGTATTCACAGGTCTAATAATAGAGTATCTAGAGAAGATATATTGGAAATAGACAGGAATGCCTCCAGTCCTACTCCCCACCCCTCAGTGGGTAGTGATGTAGATAATGAAGTTGAAGAAGTCCTCCTTCGTAGAAAAAGATACCCCCTCATACATAAACCCACTCCTTATTTCTAACTTCATCACCAAGTACAGGCATTGCTGACTTCTGCCTTCCATTATACAAGTAACTGTTTTTCCTCCAAGATATGTTAAGTTAGTTTTGACTGTGAAAGGAGTTCATGGCATGTCCATCTCCCTGCCTTGGGACTCGTGAGATCCTGAGCGCTTTTCTCCACTCTGCTCTGCTAGGAACTGTCTACAAATTACCTAATTTGCTTGGCACACAAAGAGATCCTTAAAAGCTCAGGGTGTGGCAAGGCTCTTAGAAATGATGTTGAAAAGTGTGCAGAGATCCTTAGGCAAAATGACTAATATAATCTGAATGCTTGTAAAGTTCCATGCTGCCTTGCAGTAAAAGATAAATCAGAATGACTCTTCAGTGGTGACATAAAAAATATTAAATACTACAGTCATTATATTCTTAACTCCATGGGGTACAATCTACAAAGTAAAATAGAAACTGTGAAAGAAAAAAGCAACATTTCCCTAGGGAGTGCTATCTACAAAACTAGAAGCCAGGTGCTTGGTTCCTTCAGTAAATTTGTTGGAAAAAATACTGGCTTACTGGCCTTCAAAAAAAGTAATCATGTTCTCAGTCATATGATGACCCTAATGTTCTCCAAAATGTCACTTATGAAATTGCCTGTTGCATTTCTTCTGTATTGCCTTATTACTCAATAGAAGAAGAGTTGAATAATTCATCTCTTTTTCTTTCAATGTCAAAGACTCAGTGCAAGAGTAGAGTAAGGTAAAAAATGAGAAATTACAGAAGTGAGATTACAGCACAATGATGGCTACAAGTGAAAAAAACTTGGGATTTCTGAGATAAAACCTATAGAACAGATAGTATTAGAACAATCTAGACCCCTGTTCAAATGCCAAGAAGTCTTCATGTCCTACATTTTGTAATTTATTCTTTAGAAAATAGTAACTTAATGCCATACCATAGACCACGGACCCATGGTATAGTTGAATA